CGGAGCCGGCAAAGGTTGGCAGGGAGCGGGAGCAGAGCCCGCGAGGCACACGCGCCGGCCCGTGTCCCCGCGTAGGCTCAGGTGCTGCGTTTCATCCACGGGCCAGCTTGGTCACATTTTCAATGGGCGGCAAGATTAAAAAGCGCATAGGTGGGAGCAAAATGATTTCCATGCTCATAGAGATGTGGCGCTTTGTTCTGTCAGATTCAATTACCTCACCTCTAATTAGGAGCCGTAGAGAAGGCTCCGTTTGTGATCCGGACATCACACTGTGTAGCCCGCTGATAATGGGCACTGTTGCTTCCCACACCGCAGACGGGTGAAACGGGAGCCATAGAAACTGCAGCATTCACATCACACTTGCATATTTGTTTGTCTTTCCTCTATTCCTTATTCTACGCACAAATGCAGTTTTTCACATTTCCCTGGGAAGTCCCAGGTAAACTGCACTGCAAATCAGCATGTTCATCTCTTTATTTGTTATTTTTGTACTGAGAACATTGTGCCTCTTGGCAGCTCTGTTTTTGAGGGGTCTGTCGGCCGTCCCCTTCTTGTGAGCCGGTCCCCCTCCTGTATTACAACATCTCCTACCCCCCCCGTTGTAGTTTAGCTCTGCCACTGCCGATCCCTGTCTAGCTCGAGATTTTGGGCGCCCCAGTCCAGACAAATCCAGTTATTTTCCAGATTTTCTAGGCCCCCTGTCACTCAGGGGCCCTTGGAATCGTCCTGACTTTCCCCCGCGTTACGCCGCCCCTAGACTCAGGGCACTGCGTGGACAAAAGCTGCTCCGGGACGAGGGGGCCACACGGGGCCACTGTTAGCACTGGTTGCCGAATTAGCACTCGGACAGAGCCGGGCTGTGTGCCCTAGCTCTGAAGCTATCGGGACCCGCGTTCGGCACAAACGGGCTCGGCTTGAGGGGCGTGCGGCTGGGCCCAGCCCCCATACTGCTCTCTGTCTGATGCTGACCTCTGCCACTGGAGACATGTGCTCCTTTGACACATTCTTAGACGCATGGTACTAACTTACTCTCGCCTCTTAGCTAAATGCTAAGCTAACCTCTTTAACCTCTCTCTCTTTAGGTAGGCAGTATTTTCATAGTTTATAACTGTACTAACATCTCAGTTTAACTTTAAACTCTCTGTGGATCCTCAACTAATGTCTGATTTTATCTCCAACTTTTCAGTTTTTGCTGTCCTAACCTCTCTTGAAGCCTCTCATGGTCTGAAGCCAATCCCTCTCAGTGTGATACAGCAGTAGAATTCCAGCTTGGTCCTAAACTTTCTAAATTAGATACTGTACTAGCTTGAGTATTAGATACTGTACTAGCTTGAGTATTAGATACTGTACTAGCTTGAGTATTAGCCTAATCTCTCTTAATACGGGATTTTTTCTGTTCTTGGTTTTTTTCAATTTCCTTATTCATGTAAGCAAATCTGTCACATAGCCGTATACATCTTTCGCGTTGAAGTTGCAGGTAAGCAAACGTTAGTTCGACAGCAAAGTTCCTCTATACCAACTCAGTCTTAGCATGTGAAGGTTCGATACATCTCTCAACTTAGGCTTGTGGCCTGGGTTTTATTCAGGCCTTCCTCCCTAGCAACCTCATGATCACCCCTCTATTAAGCAGGAGTACGCCCTTTCTGTCCCGGGCCTGCCCCCGTCCGTTCAGCAGGCCTCAGGTTGGTTCCTCCTCTCCGGTGAGCGCTTAGCGATGCCGGCTTGGCACTGGCCTGGCTCTCTGGCCCTCTCAGGCCTGCAGATGGATGCACCAGCAGATCCGCCGCAAATGTCCGTCGGGCAGATGCGTCTACGTTGGCAGAGGGGCCGCCGTGATGTTGGCCGTCGTACAACAAGATGCAGAAGCCCCCCCACCTCATTATACCTTGTTTTTTTTTTTTTTTGCTTTTCTTATACGGCGGATGGCTTTTTTGGATCGCATCACACAAAAGCGGGAAATCAAAGTGACACCCCCTGACTTGGAGAAGACACGATAACAGGGCACATGGGTGAGATATCCCACGGGCCGTTTGTCACCCGCCCCACAGAAAGGCACCGGTGTTCACGGGCCGTAGTGAATGTGACGGGGTTTTAAACAGTACACAACTAAATATAGCAGGGCCAGCACTATCAGAAAATGAGTTAGGAGTGCGGCGCGAGTCGTTTAGAAAGTCATTATTCTTATCTTTGCTGTCTCAAATTATTTCAGGTCTCTTCATGCAATGAATTTTGTATAATAAACTAAACATATGGAAGGGGGATCAAACTTTAAGTAATCTACACAGGACCCAGGAACTCTCCATCAAAACTGCGCTTTTTCGTCCCAGTTTTTTTTCTCTTTCTGTAACGTCTTCATGCATTATTTATGCCTCTCGGCGGCTCATAACAAATCGCATTGTTTGCCGTTAGGTTCCAGCAGGTTCGTTAAAGCGAACACAGTAGATTAGTGGCTATTGGCTCCGCCTCCCCGTATCCGGTTAGCGCGCCGCGTACAAGCTCGTGTACGCTTGCCCAGAACACATCCTTAGTTGTGTCAGAAGGCCGGCTTTTTAGACCGGCTTGGGCGAGCTAATTTAATAGTTCGATCCTTATCCCGAGACGTCGTTTTAAGCAGCAGAAGATGCTCAGTAGCATGAATGGTGATACGAGGCATCAGATTTATATATATAAAACACGAAACTATAAAGTTGTACTCATTTAAAGCTCCCCCCCCCCCCCACTGCAGCCTCGATTAGAGATCCGCGTACTAATTCCTTTCATGTTACGGAGCTCCAGCCGCTGTTGGCTTGCTACAAAGGAGTAATTTATAAGACTAATGAAAGGAATGAACATGGCGTGGAAATGGTGGTGGTGGGGGGGGGTCCTTTATGACCCCCCCCCCCGCACCCATCCGCCAGCCCGCACAGGAATAAAGGGAGACAGGAGGAAGCGTGCACAGCACCGTTTGTGAGCTGAAACAGTGGCTTTGTGAAGGATTCCTTACAGGAGAATACAGCGATAGGTCTCTGAGAATACATTTTGTGGCCTGGCTCCCGCAATGACAGCACGAAATAGATAAATATCCACCTGTAAGGACTGGAGGGAGCTGGGCAGGGGACCCCCACCTCAGAGGGAATCGAGATATTGTGATTATTCATTATCTTGATTGTGGAAGTAGTAGGTGTTTTGGGGAGTGTCTCCTTAGCTCAGATCAGATAACAGCCTTAAAATTTTTTAAGGTGACGACAAAATAATGTTATTTTCTTTTTGGGGAGAAGATGCAGGGAAAGGCACCGTTTAAATGTCATTCATGTGCAGGTGAATTTTTTTTATTTGAAACTAATACCATCCAGGGTGTAGTTTGCTTGATTGAAGCAAGTGGTAATATGCAAATGCGAAAAAAAAAGATGTACAGCTACAAGCAAAACTCCAAAATCATTTAGATTTAAAGAAATAATGTTGCACAGAGGGGAAAAAAATTAATCACACGGAAAAATGTCTCCTTTAAGATTGCAGCGTTGTATTACCTGCAGCTATGGAATGTAAATGAAAAATCAACATTGTACCCTGTGATAAGGCTAACAAATTAATAAACGCATTTTCTTTCCACCTCGTGTTCTGTTGCTCCACTCGGTGAGGAACTCAGTTAGTTTGGAGTTTCAGATACTGGGAAAAGGGGGACATCCGTGCCGGTAACATCATTTCAGGCATCGCCCAAGATGTCAAAAGTATCCAGAGGAAGCCTGAGCTTCGCAGTTTGAAGGCCGTGGTTTACAGTCTATTGCAGCTGTGGTTACCTTTGTTGAAAGCAATGTTAAAAGAGAACACCAACATCTTCCTTATCGAAGCATCTGACATTCAGCGATTAAAGTCACCAGGTACGGATCCATTATAGGGGAGGCTGAGGACAGCTGTTGAATTGATTCTGGTAGACGTCTTAAGTTAGCAGAAGTAGAAGGACAAATAGCTGGGATTAGATGTTTTTAAAAGTGAGTTAAAAGTCCGTTGAACAACTGACCCCATTCAAGAATTATCTCTGGTCTCCCCTAGTAAATCCAGAAATATGCAAATCATGTTGTGTTTAAATATTGTAAGCTCTTCCACAAGCAGGATATTCTATTGTAGTATCCTTGCTTAGCTTGTACAGTGTTACAGAGAGAAAATCCTTTGTATTTCTAGATATTTGTTTGGCTGGAAAATTTCCCATTTTCCCATTTAAGTACAGAAACCAGTTTAGAGTACGTAGCTCTTCAGAGCCACAGTAGCAGCAGACCTTCTGGTACCAGAACCACAAATTTCTACATTCATCCTCTTCTGAGTTACAACCCGAAAGACAACTAATCCCATTCTTGGTGAAGAACGATTTATATAAAGTGACAGTTTCAGATACCAAACACTTCATAGTCGAAGAGTTAAGAAAATATGCATATATTAAGTACTGTAAATTGCCGAGCTGATTACAGAGGAAAATGGTGCGTAAAATATATTATAAGCCAAAGAAACGTGTGGCGTTTTTAACTGTGTGAAACTGTAAAATGCAGAGTGTAAAGGGGTAATTAAGCACAGTCTCTTCGTCCCAGCTATCACAACATCGATGTTATTTTGGCATTTTATTGTTTTGCAGTACTCATTGAGGGGTAAAACAGGAGGCTTTTGTCTACATTGTGCTGCAAGAGAGATTTATTGAGCAAAGTGTGCAGGGAAGAAAAACAGGAAATGGGCCGGTGTGTGTGTGTGTGTGTGTGTGTGGAAAGGAGAGGAAGGAGGCGGGTTCTTTATAGCCTTCAGCTGGTGCTAACTCCCCTGACTCTGTTCCCACAAGCTGAAATTTCCCCAAAAGCAAAGTACTTCCATGCATTGCTGTGCCAGTTTATCCCAGAGCAATCATGCAGTAGTTGCTTCATAGCCATAGCTGTCTATTCTCTGTTCGTTTAGCATGTTTGTTTAACGCGTCCTGCCCGTGTTTCGCCTGTTCGGTCCCCCAAAATGGCCCTTGAACAGAAACGTGCCTCTGTCGCTAGGGCCGCTGGATGACGGCCTCGAGGATGAAGAGGAGGAATGTGTGTCGGAGGGGAACGAGCTGGTGGCGAAGGACGAGTTCTCCACAGAGGAGAACTTCTCCGGCGACTTCGAACCCGAGAACCTGAACTGTGAAGACATGGAGTTCTTCTGCAGCAAAGGTGACCCTCAAAAAAGAAAAGCGAAACTTCTCCACATCATCCTGCCTCACATCCTGCTTTCACTCCTCTACCTTACGGCCATTTTGCGTGAAATGATCACTGTGAGATTTCTCACATGTCAGGTGCGATTTCACCGGGCCCCCGACTCCACCTTCATCCCATCACACAGCTAGCTGAAACAAAAAGGCGTAGTTTTTTAACTGTGTGATGTTGTTTGCTCGCGTCCTGTTCGTTTTTGAGGCCCTGGCCCTGCCCTGTCACTGCCTCTCCTGTAGCAGCGTGGGGCAGTTTGGCCACAGAGAGCTGACAGCACCTGCTTCTCCTTGGCTTACAGGGAGAGATGCTGCATAATAACAATGAACACCCAGCCCGACCAAAGCCGCAGCATTTGTTTGAATTCTAGTTCAATTATTTATACCTTTTTTGTTGTTTCAATTTGGTCAAATCGTATACAAGAACACAAAACTCATCAGAGTCTCGCTCTGGATGCACAGATGAAAGAAATGTCATTTGTCATAACCCCCCGATTTGCCTACACAAGGTGTTTCCAGCTGCACCAGCAGTCAAATGCTATGAATTTTAATTTTAAATTAAACAATTTACTCTTTCAGTTCCCCTAGCCCCATCTTGAAAAAAATATATATATATTTTTTACACTTTGAAAGTTGAAACTATTAGCTTGGGGGATTTCACTAAAAGAAATTGTTTTCTTTTTCATGTTTTCTCTGCATAATAATAATTTTTCTTTTGTTCTTCAGGAGAGGGATTAAAAAAAAACATCATTACATAAATCTAGATTTGGCTGCATCCAAACAAAATGGCGTCAATTGTATAGGTCTTCTTAATTTTTACAGAAAATGAAATGTGTTCAGACCTGATGGTCACAGAACAGCATGTTGTATTCGGTCCAGTACATTTAATTAATTTATTGATTCGAATATGTCATATGACAGTGACATTTATCATGCTAATCATTCCCGCTTGTGGGCACTGACTGGTACCATCTCTGTGCTTCTATGTTGCAGAGATTCTAACCTTTGACCCCTACAGGGCAGTGCTAGGGGAACCCTATAGCTACAGTTAAACATTTTTGCAGTTCCTTGAACGATTAGCCAGAGCAGAAACATTGAGCAGGTGTGTCACAGAGGTATCCGATTTGATATGCTCTCACTGGGAGTGAGCTGTGTGAGACCTGGGTGACCTCTCTGGGAGTGAGCTGGGTGACTTCACTGGGAGTGAGCTGCATGAGAGCTGGGTGACTTCACTGGGAGTGAGCTGGGTGAGAGCTGGGTGACTTCTCTGGGAGTGAGCTGGGTGAGAGTGAACACAGGAGCATTATGGATCTTCAGGGAATTTCTTGTGCCTGTAATTGTTCCCATTGGACTGTCGCAGCAGTCGCTGAAGTTTAGCAAGCTGTCGTGTTAGTTACATTAAAGTTATTAATGTCTGCGAATGAAGCAAAACTGCCGGTTTTTGAGTAACAAACTGTTTTAAAAAGTATAATCAAAGTGTTGCATTAAAACGAATCTTAATCTTAATCTTTCCCCTTTGGGCACAAAACCTTGTAAGATTTTCTACTTAAACCGTCTCAGCTGAGTCTCTCAAAATACGAAAGTGCTCTTCTCTTCACATTTTGTTGTCTTTCCATAACGGTCAGACACAGTCATCAGGTGTATTCATGAATACCCTCATTCCACTATTATGCCTCTTACCAAGTAATTTAACTGGTCTTCTGAGTGGCTTAAACCTGCCACATTCACACAGAAGCGGTGTGAATTGAATGCAGTACAATTTGTCTGCGATAAACGGTTTTATTCATGTTTTTCTCCCAAATGTGAGGCAGGAGAGGGGAATGCCCTTGATGAACTAAACCCTCTCAGATTTCGATGGCGTGCCGTAATTAGCCCGGTGTTGAGTCGGACGCAGGTTTTAAAGGAGTCACTCATCCCGCCGCCTTAATCTGCTGCCGCTTCCTCCCTCCTATGCGAGGCGTCTCTGCGGGAACCGCCGGCCAAGTCCCCTGTCTTAGCTTAGCCTTGTATCTGTGTAGTCACTCACCGAAATGGGCTTGTCAGGAGGGCCTAAAGCCTCTATTAAAAGTTTCGGCCTATAATAGGTATTAAAAAGCGGGCGGAACACAAAGAGCGGCACCAATTTTCATTAACATATGAAGCGCCTATTAACTTTGATCGCGGTACGGCGAAGGAGCAAAGCCGCTTAAAAAGCACAAAGGTCGAGAAGTTGAATGTCACCGAAGTCTCAGCTGCTCTCCTTAGCCTCACTTGAAAACGCTCCTTGGATCGTCGCTGCGAGTACCTGCGAGGGGGCCGGCCACGCAGTCCGGCTACGTAGCCCGTGAGACCTTGGCGATGCACGCCTGATCTCATGCCACCTGGGATGTCGGGAAAGAGGCAGATGTCACCCTACAGGCCTTGGTGCTTGACAATATCCGTCAGACTTTCTTGCTTCCTCCATGTTGGTTGTTGTGCACCTATTCTGCGAGAGGAATGGTTTAATTTAAAGTCTGGCGTCATTGTTTATTAGTAAAATTAACTTGTTTGAAGGTTCCTCTGTACTGTTATTTGTTGTTATTTGTTTATTCCATCCATCCATCCACCCATCTTTCAGCTGCGTATGCCGTGTAGGTCGACAGGGGACACTTGTTTATTAGCCCTTGTTCTTTACTGCCGTTCTTGTTTCATTGTACTCTGTGCAAACAACGATAAAACTCTGAAAGTTGAAACAGAGTATTTTGACTTCAGGCGAGACTCCAGTGAAGTTCTTCAAGGCGTGACCTCGTTCTACCCCGCTCTCCGACACCCGTAAACCTGCCCCCCCCTCCCCCCACGTCGCATTTATAGAGGCTGCCTGGTGTCTGGTGGATGCGCAGAGGCCTCGTGTTTCACAGCGGCTATTTACAGCCCGTTGTCACGTTCCCGTGCCATAATTTCGTGAGTGATCGCTTTCATTTACAGAGTGGCATCTACTCCAGAAATATAGTTTTTGTAAATCATGCTTTTGCTTTAGTAGAAGTTGGAAAAAACAAAAAAGGAAGTTTGTAAAAAGTTTATTTTAAAAAAAATAAATGTTACTTTCTGTAGGTGTAGTGTGCAGAATGTCGCTCACCTAGCAGTTACTTCTAAATTAAGCTCTAAGCTGTTGCATAATCACTTCTCACAAATTAGTGTTTTTCTCTTCCAAAAATATCCAGGATTTTGGATACGACCACAATCCGTGCTTTACTGCTGTGGTATAATGTAGAAAAGAGGAACAAATTATGTTTATTTATTTGTGCTGGTAACTCTCACAAACTATGACTGACTAAGGCACAGTTACTCACCAAGCAGTATGCGGTTAATAGATTCATCCGAAGCAGCTTGTGATTAACCGTTCACCAGCTGGGTCATTCTTACTATTACTGAAAATGACCAGAATAAGCTGTAATTATGGTGTCTCGTGTGAATGCACGCTGACCTTTTCCGGAATATTCCCTCAATAAATAATTGATATTGTAAAAGCTGGTAACTTGCCGGCAATAACTACAGAGTGGACCAATTAATTACGACGGCCTTTTTTCCCCCACAATGAGGCAAGGAGGGAGCTCTCGTGTGCAGGCGGATCTTCTCAATATTTCGGCACGGAAGGCGGCCTTCGGAATGGCAAATGTGGAATTTTAATGCAAAGTTATGCGGAGAATATGGGAAATGCTAATTTGCGGCGTGATAAGATGAATCGAGATGTCCCTTTAGCCCCATTTAACTCAGTGGAGGAAATTAATCATTAATGTTTGTTAAGTATGACAATCTAACTGGGCCAGATCTACATGCTCCAAGACCAAACCGGAGCAAGATAACCGGCTGCCGACAGAGGGAACGGCTGCCAGATTCTGTAATGGGGGCTGTTTGTGGGCTTTCTTGCATGCCTTTAAAGAGACAGTCACGCGGTTTTTGCCGACCACCCCCCTGCGCCCCCAGAACCTGGATCCAGCATTTCTGTGGATATTTTTCGCAAATCGCTAGCGATGGGATCTTAGGCGTCTTCTTCTCCTTCGCAGCTGTGAAACATCACGGGTCTGGAATGAAAACGGTTGATGTCCTGCGTTTGTCCTGAAATGATTGCGCTTGTTCTCCTCTTAGGGCAGATCTGCCCAGAGTTAATAACCGCATATGCTGTTCTTGTGGGAGCGGACCGTACCATTTGAGACTGGTTTCCTTTTCGCCGGTGATGAGAAAATGCGGTTTTCCCCGCTTCGTCTCCTTGTCCTTGTCAGGGAGGATCTCTGTAATCTATAAGGCCCTTTAGCTTTTAATAGCGGCAATGGTTTGTTTGCGACAGAGCTTTAGTTAGCAGGAGGCTAAGGGGGATCCATTTTGTAAGTTCTCCTACCTGGTACTGGGTAGAACCTCCTTTTGCTTCCGTCAAGTTTTGATGACTTGTCTGATTAGAGATGCCTGTCTGCATGCTAGTGTTCTCCAGAGCTGTTATTTTTGCACTTGTGGCCTTCCTGTTAGCTTTAACAAGTCTGGACATTCTCCTTTGACCTCTCTCATTATCGGGGTGTTTTTTCAGGAAGAGAACTGCTTTTGGCTGGATGTGTTTTTTTGTTCATCACACCATTGTCTGTAAACCCTAGATGCAGAAGCGTTAAGGTGTACCCACAAGTGGATTGTTCAGGTCAAAAAAGTAATAATCCAGACCAAGATTTTGTTTCAACCAACCAGTTGAGTACTTTGTGACTGTGACTCTTCATACTTGGCTGGTTGGTTGCAACAAATCCTTGGTCTGGATTTTTACTTTCTGGACCTGAACTATCCACCTCTTTGTATACCTAATAAAGTGGTTACTGAGTCCTAGAAGGTGGCACAGAGGCTCCCAGTGCCTCCTGGGATAGGTTCGAGAATTGCCGCTACCCTCTCCTGGATAAGCAGCTGAGGAAGATTGATCATGATGTAGAAGGTTGGACTCTGAAGAAAGACAGTTCACATGGATGGTGTAAGAATACAAAGATCCTGGCATTTTTTTTTTTTACCCCAACGTACTTCTAGTCTGTGATGATGTAAAAGGGGAACTATTTTTTCAAAAAACAACATGGCTTGGCACATGTGAGGCTTAACATCACATTTGCGTAGAAGTCGTATTTAAGACGTGGTCTGCGGCTCCATGAAAGAGAGACGCCGAGTCGTGTTACATGAGGATAGAGTTTGTCGTCACTCTGTATCCGCGAGATTATGGGAAACGGGTCATCCTTCAAAGGCATTTCTCGGGAAAGATTACCCTCCTGATCCGTCCAGCCGACCGGCATGCATCCCCGTCGTTTCGCCTTTAATGCCGATCGGTTCATTAGCCGCTTGATCCACTTGATAAACCATTGAAAGGTCAGCTTATGTAAACCGGCGGAGATAAAACCAAGGTGATAGGACACCATGATGCTCTTCCAGACATGACACATTCCGGATTCCCCTTTGGGACGCCGAGGATGTAGATTCCCTGTTAAACTGGGGTGCTCTGCAGAAATAAAATGATACTGGGGGTAACTTACGGAACCCTGAGCCAATTTCTCTTTGTGATCTTTGTGATTAGGGGATGCATGTTCCTTGAAGTCGCATGTGCAGGATAAACGTTTCCTGAGGGCTTTCTTCATGGAGACAATGCTGGGGGGGGGGGGGGGGAGCCAATATGACTTTGCCCCTACCTTGCTGGAGGAGCTGTTTGTGTGCATCGCCTATGAGATTATTAACCGTGATCAGGCAGGTGGGGAGGCCTCTGATTGGAGCCTCAATACGACGGGCTTCTACACCTGCCGACCCTTCTTGTGAACCTGCTGCCAGACCTCCATCCACGCTGGAGGGTGGGGGGTGGGCAGAGTAACCACAGCTTAGATGGGTACCCAAGCAAGGCTCTTAAACCACCCCACCCCCCCACAGAAAAATGCCCCAGGGGTGCTGAACGGACAGCTGACCCTGTGCTTAGACCCCAGGCTACTAGAATGTCAAGTGACTCAGTGAAGACTCACTGTAGATCAGAATCTCTAGAGTTACACTTACAAGGAATCTGACTTGATATTTGCTCCAGGAATCTTACAAACAAGGCAATAAGCGTTAAATAAAGGTCAACATATAAGGAAGTTTTATAATATAACTCTATACAAACTATTCTAACCAGGTGTACAGTATGTAACAAGATTAGCGATAGACACAGTATTAAATATATAGCATAATAAGCTCTGAATTACAGCTTCTCAGTGTAACTGAAGCAAAGAGATCGTAGTTCAAAGTGAGATTACATTAGAGAGATTCCTGAATGATCCTCACAGATCAAGATCATACTGATGGCAGGGAGATATTTCTAAAAATATCACAGAAACGCCGACCTGGAGCTGATAGCATTGTTTCGGCTTCCCGACGAAGCCCCTCTGAAGGAACTTCAGCAGTGACATTGTTCCTCGTGGGGCCGCGCATGCGATCGTCTTTAAAATGCATTGCGAACCGTGCTAGATAGACGGCAGAAAATCCTTAATCACTGCTTAATTAAGGAATCATCTTGTAGCTTCATTTCCTGAGCTGTAATTAAACAGTTCCAATACGTTTCGTTACAGGGCTTAACATGTACGCCTGAGATCAAGGTAGAGCCTTAATGTTATCGCGCTCTCTTCTTTAAATTTGGTACTTTGGAAGTAACTGTTGGTATTTGCCTTTGTTACAGCTGTCATGATATCAGCCTCGTGTGTTAACGAGGCTCTCGAAATCCAGCAATTAATAGAGCGGTAGGGGAATTTAGTGTATGTGCTCCCCATCACTGCAGTGCGGGGGTGGGGGGGTGCAGTAACCCGACCAGACACTCATACGTGGAAAACTGGGTCACAGTGACCTCATGTACTGTAACTAGGACAGCAGTGTTCACTTCCCTCAGTTTCCGTGTTTTTTTTTTTTTTTTTTGATGAGACAGGAAGCACATGTCCTCTTCACAGCGTCAGTGTCCGTCTTTTGAAGTGAACCATGTCTTTAAGGAGAGAGAGAGAGAAAGAGAGAGGGAGAGAGAGAGTTGGTCTGGAGGTGAGGATGGATTTGGGGGAGGTTGAGGAAGGAACTGAATCTGTCAGGAAGTGCCCCACAATGTGTGGATGTCTGTCTGGCCTGGAGACATGTGGGGGCCACTTTGCGCTTTTAACGACCCCGGGGCTCTTAGGGGGAGTTCCTATCCGCGTTTATACACCCCCTGCTTGGACGTCTTCATCCTCTGTCCCGTCCAGCGCACGTCCGTGCGTCTAGACGTGCGGTGATTCAGAAGGCGAGGCGTCTGAAACCATTCCTGTCAGGCCCCTTCGAGGAGACACTTCCGGAAAAAGTGTGTAATCCTGACGTTCTGCTTCAGGAAACGCCGGTACGGAGTTCGGCTCCTCCAGAGTGCCGTTTAATACACTGCGCTCTTAGGGCTGCAGCCTATTGGTCTGCCTAATAGGGTGCATTATGGGTAATATTCTCTGCTCTGTTTGATGTATGATCATCATTCACCTTTGAGCACATTCCCTATCCTACGCTTCAGTGTTTCACTTACTTTATGCAGTCCTGATAATTTTCCACACAAGATCATCATTCCCTTCATCAAATCATCTTCTTTTGTACTACTTTAGTATTCCAGATCATTATGTTTTTTTTCTCATTTAGGCAGGTAATTACATATATCAGTTTTCAGACACAGATTATGTCGTCAATGTTTGGCATCGATGGTGGAGATATAATTGTTATTATTATGGATGGTCCGTGTTTAGCAGGCAGAATCGGCACAATTGAGGGTCGGTGGGTCGGACCGAGCTCCCTGTCGCCACGCGGCAATCCGCACATCGCCAACCAGAAAACACGCCCGGTTCGCAGGGTTGCCAAAGTGGACCAAAGTGCGAATCAGAAGAATATCCCTACGCAGGCCTGCAGCCAGGAAGGGGGGGGGCGGGAGAGCCACAGCTGTGAAAGGTAGCGGCCCCCGGACCCGTGTTTCCTGACCACCGTCCTGGTGCCGGCCGTGTTACGTGACTTGTGGCTTACAGCTAGCTGTGTATGTGTTTTTGAGTCATGGAGGTGATCATAACAGTCACATGCTGGGGAAAATTTCAGGAAAGACTGAGCGAAACTTTAACCTTAAAGCAGGCAATGGTCATGATGATCCTATCTGTGCTCCTCTTCCTGTCACATTGTTTACATTCCAATGATTTTTCTACCCATCAAACTCTGACTATTTTTAAAGAAAGTCCCTCAGCAAGACCCAAGGCTTGAATAAGCCTTGAACTTGATTATCGCCATTCCAGTCCCCCCCCCTGCCCCCCCCCGGAGCATCCCCGTGACCCCCTTCTGATCCAAAAACCGTGGACAGACATGCGTGCCTTGCCGATTGCCCCCTTATCGATTTGGCTTCTGCAAGCGCAATCAGATAACAGAATTCACATTGTGCAGTTAGTCGAAGGTTGTGCTTCGCCAACACAATTAGGTAATCAGTTTAAGGCCCCAGATGTGTGATACAACCTGGCAGTCCTTAAGGATATTAACACTGGAGACCACGTTTGGCGTTTGCCAGCAGACTTTGATGTGGGGTGGACGAAACGTGTTAGAATTTTCACCATTTTTTGTGTTCGAATGCTGGATGATGAAATCAGAAACTTGTAGATAAATTGAAATATATAAAGGGTTTTAAATCTATAGATCATGTTTCGCGACTGTTTATGTTGTATTTTGAACGTTGCTGCAGTGAAGCATATCTGCCTCCCAGAATTCTCTGCTGCTATACCACTGTGCCTCCCCTAACCCCCGCATTCTTTCCCTCAGGCGAAGAGGATGTCAGTAGGGAGGCTGGAGAGTCCGACGGTGATGGACAAAATGATAAAGCCCGACAGCCTCCTCTCGGACCTGAGGACTGGGACGGACCAAGTAAGTTTACCTCTGAAAATCAGAAGGCAGAATAGTGATGTCACTGTGTCCTGAGCCCCTGTAGTGATGTCACAGTGCCCTGGGCCCCTGTAAATGACGTCATAGTGTCCTGAGCCCCTGTAGTGATGTTACCGTGCCCTGGGCCCCTGTAGTGATGTCATAGTGTCCTGAGCCTCTGTAACGATGTCAGTGTCCTGAGCCTCGGTAATGGTGCCACAGTGTGCTGGACCCCTGTGGTGTTGTCACAGTGCCCAGAGCCCTTGTAGTAATATTGTAGTGTTCTGAACCCCGGTAGTGATGTCATAGTGTTCTGGGCCCCTGTAGTGATGTCATAGTGCCCAGAGCCCATAGTGTTGTGAACCCTCATAGTAATGTTACAGTGCTCGCTGTACAGTCGTATATCAGCCACTGGCTTGTAGTCACTGTCCTCCAATGTGAGAGAAGCCCTTAAAAAGTGCCAGAAGTAAAGGTCAGGGACACTACAATGTAGATGCCATATCAATACCCAAAAGGTTACCGTTAATTATTGCCTGTGCCTTTGTTGAAAGGTAAATAAAAACCTAATGCATTATTAATAAGATGTACAGTACTGTAATCAGCGACCAGAGGAAGCTCTGAGTTTGACTGTGGTCCTTTACGCCACAACAGGAAGCAGTGCTGAATGGTTTACGAGGTGACATAGTGGCTGACTCTGCTCTCAATTACTGAGCGCTCAGCACCGGAAGCTGGAGCTGCCAGACTCTGCAGTCGATGCGCTATCAGGATACGCACTCGTTTTCGGGTGACAGTACGCTCTCCTCGACGACGTTTAGCTCATTAGTTAGCCGCCTGTAATCACTTGTCAGGGGTTGATTACGACATGTTTTAAATTAATACATCAGGGATCTGGGGAATTCGTCGCCCCCCAATAATAGGGCATCTTCAGATATCCTTGACACATCGTGAGAGCTACAGAAGGTAAAGCCTTTGGTGTCTGAGAGGTAAGTTGGCCCTTGCTGGCAGGAGGAAGGGTGTCTAAGGCGCCGCTCATCACAGAGAGGCGTGACGGACGAATCGGGCATCACGATGACGATGATGCAGCGGCAGGTGTTAACGGTGTCACTCGAGGTCAGCCTATCCTGGCAGAGTCGAACGAGAAACAGGACGCCTCCCGCTTAAACCCTAAACTCAAGGCATCGTCCGCGACTTTGTACTCTAACGGGGATCTCAAGTTTGACAAAACTGTTTCCTAACAAAATATGAAGCGGACCCTTAAGGGAGGCTTAAATGAAGTTATTATCACTGTTGAATTAGAAGTTTAGTTACCCGGTTTGAATGGAATGGATTAAATTGCTCCTCTGTTGTTAAGCTTATTGTGTGTGTGCTTGAACACTGACTGCGTGCCCAACAGAAGCTTATAATAAAAATCGTGTTTATCTTTTCTTCTTGAAGAATCTCATTTTGCCTTGCAGATTTTCCCCCTGCTTTTCTCTAAGGCTTTTTAAAAACAGTTTTATCTGCTCCTCCTCCCCTTATAAAAGTCACTTCATCAAACGATGGATAATATATCTAGACAGATAGTAACATGGCAATTACTGTTGGCCATTACAGGCACATTGCTGGACGCACAAAGTATGACTCGTTTTAATTTGTGCAACCTCGTGAATTTCTTGCAGGTGTAGACGTTTTGTACACTGGATTTTGGCCAAGTTCTGTTGGTAGCCCCCCGGGTTCTGTATTTTATAGTGACAGTGAATCAGTATTATCAGTGGTATCAGATAATACATTTATCATTAAATTTCACATTTGCATTTAAATCTTGGGAAGGAAATGAGTGTTACTGGGTAAAGATAAGGATGTTTGGACAACTGTAATAAACCATCACTGTGATCAGTCTGCAGACGGGACTCGGGGGGTCAGCGGAGGAACTTTGGGGCAGTGACATAAATAGGCGTCACATTTCGTGAGGTCTTTTTTTTTGGACGGGGGGGGGGGGGGGTTGAGCTTAAAAACACCACTTTTAAGGAGTGGATATGAGCTGTGTGAGTGACTCTAATTACGATCTGTGCTCACCCGTAAGAATGCAAATTAAGAAGGCTCAAAGGAGTGTTGCATTGTGGGTAACAAGACAGTCTTTGCCACAGAATGATCTCTCTGAATAATTTGAAAATGTTGCGTATTATCATTACAATGCTGGTTCGTCTGTTGCAAGTGAAGGTGTTAGAGAAAAGTGTTTTTGTGTGCACAGTGGCGATTTAAAGGACCATTTCACCATGAAATATTGTAGCTGTCTTTGGTGTCGCAAACAGGGGCGGTGTGTGGTTCAACTGGGTTGGGATGCTGTACTGGTAAACAGAAGGTCATTGATTCAAATCCCATAGGGGGTGAAGTGGTATTACGGTTGGGCCCCTGAACACTTCCCTTGAGACTGCTGTCTCAAAAATATACACTGTTTTGGGTAATTTTTGAATATATACATTTTAATAATAAGTATTTGTAATGTGTGAGTGTGCCCTGTGATGGGTCGGTGCCCCTTCCTGGGTTGTTCCCTGCCTTGTGCCCTGTGATGGGTTGACACCCCTTCCTGGGTTGTTCCCTGCCTTGTGCCCTGTGATGGGTCGGTGCCCCTTCCTGGGTTGTTCCCTGCCTTGCGTCTGTGGCCTCTGGGATAGACTCTGGACCCCCCGCAACCTTGAATAGGACAAGCGGTTTCAGAAAATGTATGTATGGATGGAAGTAATATTAATAATTATCTTAAAATATTTAAATTAGTTAAACGCTCATACCGTCTCACCTGAGCTCTAGATCCAAACACATGAAAATGTCTGAACTTCCCAAGTCCGTATTCTATTTCCATCCTGGGGGGGAAGTCTTCTCCCAGTACCAGTACAAATATTCGGTCTGTAAGCTCCTTACATGTGCATGTGCTATCTGTTTGAGAATAAATGCTGTATTCCCAGAATGCACCAGGAGAGTGATATGTTAATGAACACTCGCACCACCCATGTCCGCTAGGAATCGTCATTCTCCACATTTCAGGGTGTTGCACTGTGTCATTGTTTTCGCAGCAATTGTACCGGAGGCTCTAGTTAATCACTGCATGTAATGACATCATTCAGTTTTACATCATATCTCATATGAAAGGCCGATTTCTTTTATAAATTTTTCCTTTTCTGTTGGGGAAGTCAGATCAGAGACTGGTTATATTCTGAATTAAGTGGAGAATCAAGCAATCAAATGTGAATACCTTAAATGCCTTGACTTCCAGCACATGATGATTATAAGCAAATTTATTTAGTTTAACTCTCTAACCCTTTCATCTCTTTTCAAATACTCAAGTGCTTCATATTCATCTGTATTCAGTCTTTTTTTTATTTTCTATCTACGCTTTCAGCCAGGGCGATTACAATCTTAAACTGATAATTCTTAATCTCTCCCTGAGACTACCGGCACAGGCAGGGCAACTGTGTCGAACCTAACACCTAACCGGGACGTGTGGGCTCACCCGTTTTAGACAATGCCGTACTGCTGGAGCAGTTGTGGGTTAGGGGCCTTACCCAAGGGCCCAGTGGTGAAATCACTCTGCCTTCCATGGGATTTGAACCAGCACACATGTGATTATAGGCACAGAATCTTATGCCACTGAGCCACACAACAAATGTTGGCTCATTTTTATTTGATTCATTTGTTGTGAGGGCAGGATTTCTTGCAGGCGATATCCACAGTCTGACGCAAGGACCCTGTCGACTGTGACCACGCCCAGCTGCTGTCTGGTGACAGAGGGAACGGTCGACACAAGGTTAACAGTCAGGTTTTGCTTTGTGGCCACATGATGACCCTATGGATTTACCGTGCCAGACCACGGGCATCCATTCATTCCCATTGTGGATGTGGGAATACCCATAATTCATTTCTGTCAGCAAATTCTGTACCACTCATGTTGTCTTGTGTGTGGACCCTTCATGCGTGCTTGCAATCAATTTCTAAATGTGATGTTAGCAAAATATCAATATTCACAATATCTTACTGTAATAGCACACACCCACGGGGCTCCGCTCCAGGGCCGAACGGATTTGCTGAGTAGTTCTTCTTAGCTGTGTGTGTTTTCACGCCTGGCTAGTGTAGGAAATACTTTCCGTGCTCGTACAGTGTGCGGCGTACCAAAGTGGCTTATCGGTCTGAGCAGAGAGTGGGTATCAGTATTATTGGTTTACAGAGTTCATTGATTCTGCTTTCTGATAATGAGATTATTTGTGACTTTGATCCAAGGCAGCGGAGTAAAGCAAGAAAGTAAAGGAGTACACAGATTGAGGACATGAGCTTTCTGGACATACAGTAATAGCAGAATCAAATTACACTTCAGCTGTTCCAGTTAACTTCTATAAGTTTGTGCCACACTGAAGGGGGGTGACTTCTGTAGAAACTTTGGGGCGAGATTAAGGATAAACTGAAAGTAACCCTCACCATGCATCGTCTCCTGGTCCTTCACCTCCATCCACATTGCGCCCTAAGGACAGGACGAAACAGGAGTTTGGAGGCGCCAGCGATGCCCGTCCTTCTGTGCCAGGTGGGCACGGGCATCCTAGGGCAGCCCGCCGGCCAGAGAAGCCTAAATCCCAGGCTGGTCCCGATGCCCGGCATGAAAGTCCTCCTTCATCATCACGGGCACCAAACGCCACGCTCCTCCGGATGACTAACCTAGATGGTGCTGCTCCAGCCTTCTCCACCCTGCCTTCCTCCCCATTGCCCCCTCCGGCCACGTAGGACAACGACCGTTTAAGGTTTAATGCCCGCACGCCGTGCCAGGTGAATCTGCGTACCAGATGGCCGCGGCACTTCGGTGGGCACCTCGACAAATGTTTGCCTTCGCCGGGGCGCTATTTATATCGCCGCGGAGCACAGATGCGCGTGTCAGCGACAGGACACCGGGCTTTGTCCGCGAGTCACCGAACGATCGATGGCAGCCCAGGCCTTAGCCTCCCCTGCTCGCTCGGTGCGTCCGAGGCTGACACTGGGTTCAT